AGAGGGAACGTCGGAAAGGGGTCGGAAAGGGTTCATCAACCATAGGCATACACCCTTTTCGCTCCTGCGTCGTTACGTGTATACAGTCGGGCATGCACACCATCCATCCGCCGCCTCCCCCACCACAGGGACCTATTTACCACTTACTCTCTCCTCCTGGCGTCGGTGAAGGAGAGGGCGAAGGCGAGGGAGAGGGAGAAGGCGACTTTGGCAGGCAGGCTGACACGGCCTTGGCCTGCGCGATGGACTGGGCGAAGGCGGTTCCGGAGCCAGCAGCCTTGGCCTGCGCTTGGGCCTCTGTACGCATGTACCATGTCGGTGTGGGGACGTGCAGTACGAAGGTGAGGAAAGCAGATAGGTGGCAAGAGCGGAGCGGATAGCTAGCTAGAGGATATACGCAAGGGGAGCCAACAGGAATGAGACAGCGCCCCGCTTCCTAAACAACGGCAACCACGCTATGCAAGGACCCTTCGTTCTTGGCATAAACGAACAGACCTCAGCACCACATCATCCTCTCCAACCGGCTTTTATTCCTTTGCTGTAGCACCCTCCCTCTCTCGCGCCCCGAAAACACAGCCCGCCGTCCCAACACAAATGCCACTACACAACTACAGGATGCGATGCAGCAAAACAACAGCAAAGCAGCCACCGAGCAGCAGCTACTCACGTGCCAGCGCCTGGTCCAGTGGGCTGCAGCCGGATGCGACGGCGGTTGCGGCAGCCTGGCTGAACACCTTGGCCTCGTTGCCGCCCGCCGCCGCGGCGTCGGCCAGGGCGTTGGCGGCGGCGGCGGCGTTGCCGGAGGACTCGGCGGAAGCCAGCGCCTGAGCTAGCACGTTGGCGACAGCGCCGCTGTTGCCCTGTGCAGGGTGAGCAGGCAAGAATGACGGATGGATGTATGGATGGATGGATGGGAGGGTTTAGGTTTGAGGGATGGGGGAGGGGAGCGGGGCGGAGGAGTTAGCTTGGGGGCACGCAATGGGTCAAGGGGCGACTGGGGGTTATTGGGTGGCCGAGATGGAGGGGTGGGGCACGCATGCATGCATAAAGGGAAACAGACGCGCCGGGGTTGGGGAAGGAGAACACGTGGACAGCGCTTACCGTATATGCACAACCACCACACACATCCGCGCACGAACCCTAGCCGCACAGCCACTCGCAACGAGAAACCGCAACTGGCAACCGCCCCCTCCGCCCCACCACCCACCTGCGCGTATGCCTGCGCCACCGCCTGCGCCACTGCGTCCGCCGTGCCGCCGCCCTGCGTGATGGCCTGTGCCACTGCCTGGGCGGTGGCCTGAGCGGTGCTGCCACCAGCGGCCGAGCCGGCGGCGATGGCGGAGGCGGCGGCGCCGGTGTTGCCCTGCACGCACGTGCGGATGCGGAGGTGGAGGACGAGGGGAGGGGGGAAGAAGCTTGGGTGCCCGTCAAGCTCCCGTACTAAGAGGAACGGCAATGAATGAGGATGCGAGAAGGCGGGGACCCGGCCTTGGCTGTCCCGTTCCCGCTAATCCCTTCCCCTTCGCATCCCCTCCGGACATAAACAGACACCCCACTGCAACAACTCCCACTCGCCCCCACCCCGCACCCAAGCAGCGCGCTAGCTACTACCCCACATCCATCCACCCACCTGTGCCACGGACTGTGCGAGGGCCTGTGCGACGGCGGAGGCGGCGGTGCTACCCCCCTGGGAAATGGCCTGCGCTAGCGCCTGAGCGAGCGCAGTGGAGCTGCCGCTGGCTTGGGCCTGAGCGAGCGCCTGGGCAATGGCGTTGGCGGTGGTGTTGGGGGCTGGCAGGAGATGGAAGCGAGGGGCGGAGAGGAGGACGGGGCGGGCGAAAGGGTGCGGAGGGATGAGCTCGTGAGTGAAGTGAATGTGGGAGCTAAGCGAGAGGGGGGCTAGGTGATGAGAGTTCACGTGGTGGAGGAAGGTGTGTCGTGTATGACGCATGGATACAAAGTAGTTCCTTCCTGTGACCCATGGGTCACCTCTGCTACCGAGGTTCCTATGCGGGGCCCATTACTAGCGATATCAAGGCTTGACCACAATGCAGAGTCAACGAATGCGCTAACATGAACAGTATGTACCTAAACGCAGCGCTTCAGCGACGCCGTGGCGTATAACAAAGGACAGGCATGCTTCCTTTAGCTTGTGCCTCCTCGTGTTCTCAGCCAAAGCAAAGTTGTGCGCAATAATTTGTCATCTTATCAATCAAGAAGACTCGTCTTCTCAAGCAAAAAAGCAAGGCAGTGTATGTCATTGCGCTGCTACGACATCCCCTCGAGTCACTCACAAGAGGCGGCCGCTTGTGCAATGGCTTGTGCAGCAGCGTTGGCGCCGCCAGTCCCGTTCGCGGAGGCCTTGGCAATGGCTTGGGCGGCGGCATTGGCGTTGCCGCCGGAAATGGCCGAGGCAATGGCGGATGCCGAGGCGGAGGCGGAAGCCGACTGCTGCAAGTTGCGACCTGGGCAGGAGGGAAGGCGAGAAGGAAGTGGCGGGAAAAGGAGGAATACTCGATTGAAAAGTATTGTACGTGGTAATCCACTTATTAGACAAATGTATGCATTAGGCGGGAAGTTGGACAGGAATGTGCAGGGGCGGAATGAGGTGATCTGGGTCGTTTGCGCGCGCAAACTAAACGTGTGCGACTCCAAAGCACAAAGCCTATTGTCACCATTGCAGTAGAACCTACGCGAGGAACGAATACAATGAAATGCGAATGCATCACACAGCGTACCTGCTGCCGAGACGCCGCTAAAGGCCGCTGTCGTAAGCAGCAGGAGCGCCGACAGCACCGCGACCCGAGGAGGGCCCATCTTGACGGCTAGTTGGCTTTAAGAGTGGGATTAGTTGCTACACGTTAAGCTAGACCTCGTAAGGCTCCTAGCAAGTTGCGTAATAACGTGTAGAGAGCCAACGGCGCTACCGGTCGCTAACCTCCGTCGGGCTCAGCAGGGCCCGCTGTTGCAACCTTTTATAACCACTCCGCAATCGCAACAAGTCCTGTTGCTACGAAGTTAAGCACTGAGAGAGCTTGAGGAAGGCCAGCGGCGCTTTTATGGCTTCCGACAGCCGGTCGTGCGTCCAAAGATGGATTCCGTACGACAAGGCATTTCGGCGCGCCGAAACCCTTAACCGGTAGGCATGAATGACGACAACATGTCGCTCTTTTTAGGCTTTACACAGCCCTTAGCCTAAGGCACCGGTCAGGAAAGATGTTCTGGCAATAGTGTGCCTGGCACGGGGTAACCAAGCGCAGTCGTATGTTACGTAAGCCAAGCCTCATCCGCATCCCGTCTGTCTGACAGGACGGGCTGACCTCATGACCCGCCCGCCCGGCGCCCATTATTTCCTGTTCTGTAACTTCATTCCTGTCCGCTATCTTACGCAAACTTGCCATTCGGCCACTTGCTCAAGCGAATTCTGAAAGCAAGCGGTAGTCTGCCTGCCTGACAGCCCTGACTCATTGCAGCAACGCGCTACGGCGTGCCTCTCCATTCCCGACGCCCATTCCACAGCCCGAACACCCCATTGCCTTTTACAGTGCTGACATATCTATACCGCTAGATCACAACACCCACCCACCTGGCTAGCAACGTAGAACATGTCTCGCTGACCCATGGGTCACAGCGCAAACCCTCAACGGTGTCATGGTGCTGAAATACCGGTAATGGAGTCAAAAGGCCGCGGCGCTAGGGCTGAGCGTTTGTGCGTGTGGACGTGCGCACTAGGCCACCGTTGCTTGCTTGGTACACCCACCTTTGGTACACCCACCATCGGCATGATGAACGTAGCACTGAACCGTCCTGAGGTAGGGTAAGGCGGACCTTCCTGTATTTGTCAAGCGCTGAGCCGCCCACGTCTCTCATATCTCTTTCGCCTTTTACTAAAGAGATCAGCGAGTGCGGCTCACGAAGGCGCATATCTTCAATATTTGCAAGGCTCTTGCCTTCCCAAATCGCAATGTCAAAGTGAGCAGACAGGCTCAGGATGGGTTAGGAAGCCAAGTTGCGGGCAGTACGACTCATGCGAGTCAATCTATGTCATCGTATCGGGGAACGAGATGTGATGTAGAGGGGGGGGTTATGTGGTAGACAGGACGAGCACGCTACGGGTTGCCTTCCGCGGTTGGCTTCTTGGTCAGGTAAGATACTGAACCGGCACTGGTACGTGTGGGTGCAAAGGTTCCGGGGGTTCGCACGGGGTTGCATGCGACACGTGCTGCGGGATAGGTCGTGCGTGAAGGTGTCTAGACGTACAGACACGCCACCTGCGTAGAAGAAGGCCTGGAGGAACGCTTTACATCATTACATGCGGGGTGGGACGGGTAAAGGGGAAACTGACAAGCTGTCTGACACGGATTCACCATGGGGTTGGACGGGGTTGCTTGCGTGCATGCAAGGCTGCAGTCGCTGCATGCGGCTGCTGCGTTCTTCTGCGAAAGGGTAAGCGTAGCATACCCTGCATACCGGTGCCCTGCATGCATGTCACGGCAAGTGGTTCCCAACTTGTTCGCTAAAACAACCTCTTTCGAGCGAGAGAGGCTGAAGAGCTCCTGCGGTTGCTGTCGCACCCCTTGCTTGGGGTGGGTACGTAGTTAGGTGGGCAGGCAGGCGGGTGGGTGGTGGCAGCCCTAGGTAGCGGCAGGCAGAGGGGCTTTTACCGTGCAACAGTTAGGATGCAGACTGCAGGCTGAGGTCCAGTCATTGCGCAATTACATGGCAGTGCTAGGGCCGGACCGTCTCATGAGCAAGGCAAGACGGTGGACCAGTTGAGACGCGGCTGATGCATGCAGCACCCCAGCGGGACTCCATATTTGGAAACATAATGGCCCCAGACAAGTGGCTTTGGTACTAGGCGCGCCTCAGGTTCAGCATTTCGGCATGTCCAATGACGCAGTCAGGAAATGTCAGTACAGTACGGATGGTGGCTACACGGATGGTACGGACGGTATACGGAAGGCCGCGAACCAAGTTTGTAGGCAAATGGCATTGTAGATCTTCAATTTAAGATGAATGTCAAAACGTTTTGAGGATTGGAGCCTTTTTGGGGACGAGTGAAGCTGTATTCAATACCTAGGGCTACCGGTACGCGCCATCCTAACTATGCGATTTCAGCCGCTGGCTCACATTAGTAACATGTACTAATACCAATTAAACATTTTAATGTTGAGGCTCTCTTATTTCTACCTGTTGCAACAGTACTAAGTCGCTCCATTGCCGACTGCCAACGGAGCCATGGACAGCCGCAGTCGGGAACCTCGCGACTTGGATCCTCGACAAAATCGCAAATGGTCCGGTGTCCTTGAGTCTCTTTTCTGGACGGTTCTTGCGCTCGGTATCGTGTTGTACGGCTCCGGCCAGCACGACTTAGTGACCTTGCTGTTCCATGACAGCCGGGTGAACAGGTACGGCAAACCCCGGCCCTCCTCATGTCGCACAAGCTTGCTACCTTGCAAGCACACCCCATCGCACGGGGCTTAATATGACCCTTCCTCCCTTGCTTGAAGCCTTGTCACACAGCTCGTTAGTTGCCTCGTCAGTTTCCTTTAAGTTTTCCTCCCATTCTGGAGAATCCACCTCCTGCTGATCCCTTGCCATCTCTTCCTCTTTCCCCGCTGCTGCCCAGGGCGTTCCTGTGGTTCGGCCTCATCAATGTCGTCCTCAACATCCTCCTCTTCACCTACGTCTACGGCTGGTGGGTGCACAGCGGCTGTAGACCTCAAAGCCGGCCAGAAGATGCAAGCCAGCACGGGGCCATGGCAGTCATAGCATGTCAGCTGGGTGTACTATTGCCGTGCCGTACGAGCTTCCCAGCCGTACTCTGCCCCCGGTAACATTCCTCCATCTTCCTCCTGCTTTTTGCACTGCAGGCTGGGCTACGTGCGCGGTCTGCCCGACCCCGCCCGCAGCGGCACTCTTGCGGTGCCTGCGGGTGCAGTCACCTTCGTCTCAACCTTCCTGGCGTGAGTGGTGGCGGGGGCAGATTGGGTTGTATCGGTTGCTGTAGGGAACGGGCCCCAACTGCAACCAACCGCCATGCCCGTGCACCCGAGTGTGCGGCAGCAGTGCACCGCGGCTGCACTACACCGCGGCGCCCGGCTAGTAACGCCCAGCCCATACCTCCCCGCATCAAACAACCCATGCATGACCAGGCCTGCCCTGCCGGCCACCCACCCTCCCTCTTCCACCTTTTCATTTCGTTTCCCTCTTCCTCCTTCTCCTCCTCAACCAGGTTCGTGTTGGCTCTGTGGCCGGTGTTTGGAGTGCTCTCGCTGCTGCAGGTGGTGAGTGACGTGACGTGAAGTGAGACGTGACGTGAAGTGAGACGTGACGTGAGTTGCCGTGACGTGACGTGAGGTGACGTGAAGTGACGTGAGGTGCCGCCGCTGCTCTCCAGACACCTCATTCATCATTAAATCATGAGTAAATCATTACACGCTGCTGCTGCTCTCGTTAAGTAGTACCGGTAGCCATCCGGTGTCCGCAGCGCAGCACAGCTGGGAAAGCACGCTTGAGGCACCCCTCCCCCACATGGCATACACTGTTACACACCAGGGCGCCGTCTACACGGATTCACTAGATAGGTTGTTGTGCGGTAGCACGCTCGATAGCGGTTCTGACGACATGCACAATTGTTCGGAGCCGTTCTGGAACCGCTCGTGTGTTGCGATGCAACCGTCTGCTGCGTTGACACTGTGACAGAGTGGGTTGGGCATTTCCACCAGTGCCTTATTAACAAGACGGCATCCGCTGTTGTGTGCCTAAAACCCTGTTGTTTGCCGTACGGCGCAGGTGCTGGTGACGTACGGGATCATATCGGCGCTCAACTTCATTCCCGGGATAGGGCCCCTTCGGGTGGGGCAGCGCACGAGGGGCGACGAGGGTAACAAGGAGGACTAGTGGGTGTGCTTGTAAGCAGCAGCAGCGGCACAGCAGAGCAGCCACTGCAGCACACCAGCAACGGCGGCGGCGGTTAATGGCGGATTGTAGACGTGGGGCGAAATGGGAATAGTCGAAGCGTTGGGGTGACAAGGAAACCCCGAACATGTGGTGGCGTGCAAGGCTTCACTGCATTGGGTGCTCTGGGGGGATGCTGTGGGGATAAAGAGGAAACAACGAACTGACTGAGGGATAAGGCGTCAGCATGAGGGAGGTCTGTGGATGTGGCGCGGTCGGTTGCGATTTGCGCGGCGTCAGTATGAACGAGGGAGGCCTCTGGGGTTATAAGGTATGGCGGGGCTTGTGTTGGGCCTGCCTTCCGTGAACACCGCTCGCTGGAACATCCCGCTGTGAATGACTGGCAGCCCGCTCCGGTTACCGCACCATGCTTCCGTCGTGCTATGGGGCGGTGGATCATCATCACCATCGAATTGGTGCATGGGTTGCTGTGAGCACGAGTGGCAATGACTACCGTATGAGGTATGTGCCGGAGGTATGTGCCGCCAGGACGCGGGATGGGTTGGCGCTTTCTTGCTCGCGCTGGTGACATTCCGATATCGAACGTGTGTTAAAATAACTGCCCGCGAGGTGAAACGTGTGTACGGCAAGCAAAGCATGCACCCAGCGGCAGCATTAGCTCAGATGTGGCGCATGACCTCTTTCACAGCCTTAGTCGTTTACTGCGGATAACGTACCGTACATTGTAATGGACCTCCCATTGTACTGCAATTCCGTACTCCATTGCGGCTGTAAGAGTATCTCTGACGTCAACAATTCATCATCGCAGCCTCAACCCCCAGCGCACACACAACCGCATTGCTGCCTCCTGGTTCAATTCACAGGTTGCTCATGCAGAACAGCAATCCCCCATGCAACATACATACATACACACATTCTGTATGTATGTGCTACACACACTATGTATGATGATCACACTCGTAGAGCCCGCCAACATCGCCTAAACACACTGGCATCTCACAGCAACGGACAATATCATCAACAACAACACTGCAGGGCAGCAAGCATGATTGGCTTTCACATGGTGCGTCCGTAACCTGCCCCCAAGTCGCCGTCTTGGGTCACTCTCGGGTCGTCATCTCCTGCGCATGTTTCACACGGCTACGGTATGTATGTACACCTGTGTTCGTATCCCTGATGGGAACCCCTCTGACGCTTTCAAACACTCAAGCCATATAAGACCACCCTCAGCGGCGTCCCCGTGGCGCCGACAAACACTGCAAGCGCGCAATACACACAGCAGAGTTATTTGACCCCCGCATTCCGCCAAGTCTCCACAAACCACAAGCCAGGCGTATGTCCTCTTTATGACTAGAATCAGCACAACACAGGTACGGGTAATGAATTAACGTTTACGTGCAACACTTACGTTGAACGTCTACGTGCAACACCAACGTGCAACATCAGCCCTTTCCTGAATAAACCATGCGAATCCTAGACACAAAACGACCCTTGCAACTGCACATACAGCACATTGGATGCACCGCCAGGAAACACTGCAATGAATGGCACACGGTAACACACACTGGCTCATCCCAGCACACGAGGGCAAGCAAGAGGCAATGGCACGGGGCACGAATCCAAGTACATGCATGTATGAGTGAGGCTCGCTAGCCTTGTCAAGCAAGATTGCAAAACAGCACCTGCAGCAGCAGCAGCAGCAAACGCTCATCTGTGTCAGCTGATGAGGCCCGTAACTCAGCATGCGCAACTCCCCTGCTACGCAAAGTAAGGCCACCACCGGCGCCACCACTCGTTCAAAAACACCTGCCGTTACACAATGGTCTTCACCCACATTCCCAACAGGACGTGCGCGCGGTCTAAACCAACCCGCCGTACGCCGCCCCACATGCTCCATCTCCCGCAGCGCCTGATACGTCTCTGATTCCGCAGCCCATGTGTCATACCCACCCTATCGTACCTGACATGCACGCCGTCCCTCCCTAACCCCAACTGCATGTCGGCATGTCGGCATGCCGGGTCTTCCCTACCGTCTAACACCGGCTGGCTCCTACCATCTACTTCACTGCTGTTGCTGTTGTTGCTGCAACTGCCGCTGCCGCTGCCCGGCTGGTCTTGTGCCCTCCGGAGTGCGATTTGGACCTCCGCAGCCCCCCCGGACTCTTGCTGCTGCGGCCCCCGGAAGGCCGGGGGGCGCTGGGGGCGGCCGGGGCAGCAGCAGCACCCGCACCAGCAGCAGTACCTGGCAGGGTGGCAGGGCCTCCAGACACGGACGGTCGTGCGCCAGGCGGCGGTGCGGGTGCGGGCAAGGGCGTTGCTGGCGCGGGCAGGTGCGTGGCAGAGGTGCGGGTGGGGGAGGAGGGGCCGGGGGAGGTGGAGCCCCCGAGGGGGCGGTGCTCGCGGGAGGGCGTGGAGGGGGGGTTCTGATGGGGGGACGTGGGAGAGGAGTTGAAGGAGGGGGGGGCGCGGGTGAGAAGGAGTGTTGATTCCAGGAAGCTACAAGGTTTAAAGCCAGCAGGGGGGTTCTGATGGCCCATGGGTCGGCTTCACGGCACCCCAACCCTCTCCCCACCCTTCCACAACAGCACCGCTCCATACAGCTCGTCAGCTCCATAACATCTTCACCCTTCCACAACCCCCCGCCCCCCCACACCCCCGCACCTGCGGGCGCTGCAGGGCCTGTCGTGCGATGTCGTCGAAGGTGGCTGCACGCGGGTTGGCGTTCACCCACTGCTGGGCGGCTGCTGTGGCGCCGGGGGAGGCGGGGGGCGGCTCGGCGGCACCCGTGGACCGCAGACGAGCCATGGCGGCCTGAGGGGGGAAGAGACGGAGGAGGGGAGGGAGCAGAGGGAGACAGCGGAGGGAGGGTGAAAGGCTTGTGTGAGCAAGGCGCACTCGTCATGCCCCTCCCCATTCCCCCTTCCCCCTTCCCCGTTCCCCCTTTCCTTCCCGCCTGCTTGCTTGCTTGCATGCATGCATGCAAGCTTGCAAGCAGCACCACCCGGTCAGCGCTGGTGTCCTGGGTGCATCATGCGACCTAATCAAGCAGCGCCCCAAGGCTCGCAGCCCTCGTAACCCCCGCCATCACCAACCCCTACCCCCCCCCCCACCTCCCACGGAGCTCATGAGGTCAGAGCTACCGTACTCAGCCACCGGAGCCACCCCCCCCCCTTCCCTCCCACCTGCAGCGCTTTTGCCGCTCGTGTCAGTCCGGCATCCGACCTGCCCGCCACCACCTTCAGCTCCTCTGCGGGGTTGGGGGTACGGACGGACGGAGGCATGATTCCGGTGTTGGGGATTCATGTCATCATATCTAGGCGGGGCACGAGAGGGCCCGTAAAACGGGCCTAAACGAGGGCAAAGGAGCGGCATCAGCAGATGCATGAGGGGGAATAGGACACAAGGAAAGGTTCCCACCGTAACCCCCCACTTGCCTGGCCCCTGCCCACACCCCTCTCCCCCCCTTCTCCCCCCCCCTCACTCACCCACCACCCGGCTGCCGTCCTCCAGCTGCTCCTCCGCCACCTCGTACCGCTCCACCACCGTCTGCTCGCCGCTGCTGGGGCCGCCCGACCGCACCCCTCCTCCCCCCGCTGCGGCCTCCTCGCTGCAACCACCCCCACCCCCACCCCCACCATCTGCGGTCTCCTCGCCCTCGCCCTCACACCCCGGACCTCGCGGCCGTCCCAGCCCCGGCCCTGCGGAAGCAGTTGAAGCAGCCTGCGCATACGCGCCCCAACGCGGCTGCTGCTGCCCCCGCGCTGCCCGCCCCGCCGCCTCCCTGGCCGGCCCCTCCGGCACCTCCCAGGGTAGCAGCGGCCGGCCGTAGCTGGCCGCCTCGGCGGCCTGCAGCACCACACAAGGTAGCGGTGGGAAACGTGTGGAGGGGTTCACAGTAAGTCCCGAATCGCCGCCAGTGTTTTTAACACAAGCGGACACGAGTCACATTCATCACTGTCTTCTATGATGAGTCTGACTGCCCTCAGCGCCTTGTGTGACCCACGGGTCAGCCTGCCCTCCCCCTCCCGCCCTGTCCGGAATCCCGCTCCCTCCCTCACCGCCATCTCCGCCATCATGCTGTCGCACTCCTCCCGCTCGGGGCGGCTCACCCCCAGGGGACCCAGCTCCAGCAGCAGCGGGTGCAGCTCCCGGGGTAGGCAGGCTGCGGAGGGAGGAGGGGAGGTGAGGAGAAGGGGGGAAGGGTGGGGGGAAGGTAAAGAGGAAGCAATTAACTGGCCACGTGACAAGGCGCATGGAGGGTAGGTGGGGGTCGGTTGCGGGCGGAGCGCAACACACCAAGCCATCATCCCCTAAAGCTCCCCTCAAACAAGCAGGGCTCCAGCTGCACCCTGCTGCCAATCAGCTGCTGCACAACAGCAACATGACAACAGCGGTTGCAGCGCCCTCGTGGCCCACACCATCCCACTCCCACCCCCGCAGCCAGTGTTTCCTCCCATCCCCACAGCCAGCACTACCCCCACCCTCCCCCCTCCCCCCCCCCGCCCCTCCCTCCCTCTCACCCAGCGACTCCCGTGTGAGCACAGCGCCCAGCCCGCTCCCCCGCCACCGCCCCTGCCGCCCCCCCTGCTGCTGCCACTGCTGCCCCTGCTGCCTCCCCACCACCCGCGGCACCGCATGCCGCGCCACCCATGCATGCCTCAGCAGCTCCTCCAGCGGCACCCGCCCCCCGCACTCCCCAGCCAGGCCCCGCAGGAACCAGTCCCCCGCCTCATCGCTCAGCCACAGCGGCAGCGGCAGCGCATCCGCAACCCCCACCCCACCACCACCACCACCACCACCAGTGCTGTTGGTAGCACCGGTAAGCCCAACACCGCCGCCGCCACCGGCGCCTATGACGACACCGCTGCCGCCGCTTCCGTACGTGCTGGTGCTGGTGGCGGTCCATGCCGCTCCGCAGGTGGTGTGTCTTCGCTGCCTGGAAACCCCACCCAGTCGCAACAGGCCGCCCAGGTTGCCAATCAACACCCCTCCGCCGCCGCCGCTAATGCTGTTGTTCATGCGCATGTGGATGCTGCTGCCCCCGCCGCTGCCAGCCCCTTCCTCTCCACCGCCGGTATTGCCTGATCTGGCAGCGGCGGCCGGGGCCAGGTTCAGCTCCCCACTGACGCTCACAGGGTGGGCCGCAGCAGCGGGGGCGAGGGAGGTCAGGGACGTCAGGGGGGCCAGGGGCGTGAGGGAAGTGAGGGGGTTCAGAGACGTCATGGGGCCGCTGCAGGCGGTGCTGCTGGCAGCAGTGGTAGTGCACGTGGTCACCATGCCGGTGATGAAAGGGGAGGAGGAGGAGGAGGGGGTGGAGGGGCCGTGGGGCGGCTGGCGCGGCTGCATGGAGGTCCGCCGCTGCAGCCCGCGACCCAGCAGCACGGCAGCGGCGACGGAGGTACTGGGAGGGGGGTGGGTGCTGGTGTGGGTGCTGCTACTGAGGGTAAGGGGCGGCAGCAGCTGGGATAGACAGCTGGGAGCAGCAGCGGTGGTGGTGGTGGTGGTGGAGGTGGTGGTGGTGGTGGTGAAGGTGGAGGTGCAGCCGGGAGCTGTTTGCGAGGTGGGGATGGGGAGGGAGGTGTAGGAGCGGTCCCTGGGTGCCGCCCTGCTGCTGCTGCTGGTGGTGGTGGTGGTGCTGCGGCGGGGGTGGGGTGGTGGGGTGGGCGGTGGCGGGCAGGGCTTGCTGGTGGCGGCCGGGGTGGTGGGGGTGGGGTTGGGGGTGGCAGGGGGGTCGGGCGGGGGGGCACCCATGAGGGCGGTGTGCAGCAGCGCCGCGGCGGACCAGGAGAGCCACTGGGGGGGAGGAGGGGAGGTGGGGAGGAGGGGAAGGGGGGAAAGGGGTGAGGGGAGGGAAAGGGGCAAGAGAGGGAAGGGAAGGAGGGGAGGAGGGGTGTCATCAACCCAGTCATCGGTGTGCTCAACCCTCCTAGCCCCACTGCCCCACCTCGTCCCTCGCCCCCATTGTTCTTCCCCTCCTTTCCCGCTCCCCTCCCATGAGCTCAGACGAGAAACATGCCACTTTACCCCCTCCCCCACTCACCCTCCTGACCGCCCGCTCCTCCGCCTCCCCCCTCTCCGCCGCCGCCAGCACCCCGGGGTGGCTGCGCAGGTGGGGGGCGACGTACGGCAGCGCGGCGGGGGGCAGCGGGGGCGGCGGCTGGGGGGGCGGGCAGCGGGCGCGGCGGTGACACAGCAGTGGCACTGGGGGGGAGTGGGCGGGGGGGAAGGGGAGGGGAGGGGAATGTCAGTGCTCCCCTCGCGGCTTGGTTCAATGACCACCACCCCTATGCCACATACCCGCACCCACACCCGCACCCGTGACCCGGACACTCCGCATGTGCCCCGCCCCCTCACATCTGTTCCCTCCTTCCCTCCTCCCCCCATTGGGTTGTCGCTGTGTGAGTTGCGGGACCTACGGACCGTCGGCGCGGCGGACTCCCCTCGATGCACTATCTCCGCTACTCGGCGTCTTCCTATCGCGAATGGCCATGGCTGCAGTAAGTCTCATCGTTACGGTAAGACCATTTGTTGTTTTGGCTTGACTAATACGGGTGGGCTGGGATGGGCCAATTAGCAACCCATGGTGGAGCCTCGTCATTCAGCTTGTCAGTGTTTCTTTATTTTTACCCCTTCCCCCCACCCCTTCCCACCCACCCATGAACAGCGCCTGCCCCGCTGCGGGCGCCTCCGGGCAGTCCAGCCACACGTCCAGTCCGCACACGTAGGCGGGCCGCAGCCCCCCTGCTGCTGCTGCTGCACCCCCTCCCCCTCCTCCCCGCCCTGCACCCCCTTTCCCTCCCCCTCCCCCTCCTGCTCCCCCCAGCAGCGCCAGCAGCTCCCCCAGCGGCTGCAGCAGTCCCCGGACCACCCCTCGCTCGCTGACTGGGTAGCTGCTGCCGCCGCCACCACCGGGGCCCAGGGCGCCCAGGCTGCTGCTGCCCAGCGCGCCGCTGCCGCCGCTGCCGGTGCAGTCCAGGGGGCGCTGTGGAGGGAAGGAGGGGCGAGAGGCGGGAGGAAGGGGTGAGTGGGCGGGGCAGGGAGGGTTAGGGGAGGGCAGGTGGGGCAGCCGGGGAAACGCGATGGGGCGTCAAGCAGGGGCCCTGGAGCCCACACAGGCCCTCCAGCACCCTTCCGCACCGCCCACCCCCCTCCTGTGCCCTCCTGTGCGCACCCTCGGGTCGCAAACACGGCGGCGGGGGCCCTTCCCCGGGGGCTGGTGCCGCCGCGGCAGTAGGCCAGGTCAGGGCAGGGCAGCCCCTCCCTCAGCAGCCACCCCCGTGTGCATGCGCTGCCTGCCGCATGAGGGGCAAGACGGCCCGCACTGCCACTGCTGCGGCCTCTCACCTCCTCCCGCTTCCCCTCCCTCGCGGTCAACACCGCATGCGCCGCCCGCCGCCTACCCTCCTGTGCTTCACCCCCCTCCTCCCTTGCCCCCCTTTCCCCGCCCTCACCTGCGCCGGACCTCCAGGGTACACCATCACAACCGTGTCATCACCGCCCCCTGCTGCTCCTCCTGTTCCCCCGCCTGCCCCAGCCCGCTCCCCGGGCTCTCTAAACACCGCGTACAGCGGCAGCAGGGCGGGGTGGTACGGCAGCGAGTGGGCGGCGGCCAGTGCAAGGGCCATGCTGCCGGACAGGTTGCCCACTGGGGGTGGGGGTGGGGGGGAGGGGAGAGGGAGGGGAGAGACACGGAGGTGAAGGCAGGGGGCGAGGGCAGGGGGTGAGGGCAGGGGGCGAGGGAAGGATGGATGAAGGAGGGTGAGGGAAGGAGGGGCGGTGATGGGGGGCCGGGAGGGCGGAGTCAGCTCTGGATCTGTTCAGCAGCGGGGTGCAAGAGGTTGCAGGAGGCAGCACAGTCGGGGGAGGCATGCGTGCGGGTTCATGTAGCACCACCAGCATCCCTGCATGACGGCGCATGGATGCCGCCGTGCGCTTGACACATGCGTTGCCGGAAGCACACGGCGCACGGCTCCCCCGGGGAGGTGGAGGTGATTTGCAGGTGCTAGGGCGTCAACCCCCGCATCCGCCCGCGCGCCCGCACCTTCAGAGTAGGTCTGCAGGACCACCTGGGGGCGTGGACGGGAGGGCGCGGAGGAGGGTTGGGGGCGGAACAGGATTAGGGTCGGGGGCCGGGACGGCGGGAGAGGGTTCAGGAAGGAGGGAAGTGGGTTGAAGAGGGATGGGCGGGCGGGGAGGGCGGGCGGGCGGCAGAGGGAGAGGGAAGGGCGGCCCCAGCACAGGGCACCCGGTACCCTCCTCTCCCCCTCCGCACCCATCCTTTCAAGCCACTACGGGTACTACCGAGCCCTCACCCCCGGCCCCAGTGCAGTCCCACCTGAGCTCCTGACCACCTGCACACCGCGCCGCAAACCGACCAGCCGGGCCCCTCGCCGTACAGCCGCGTCACGTGGAAGTCCGCCAGGCTGTAGCGCTCGCGGCGCACCGCGGGGGGGCAGCGGCAGGTGGCGCACTGCGGTTGGGGCTGCATGGCAGGAGGCTAGGGGGCCGGCTGCGAGCTGCGAAGGCTTTATGGGCTTAGGGGGCTCCGAGGCGGGGATGGCGTTGGGCGGTGGGATGCAGGCGTTTGCTGCTGTGGTGAGATCGCTGGCTCAGCAGGTAACTTTGCTGAATTGCTGCTGCTGGTGTCGATGATGAGGCGTTACGGCTGCCTTGACGAGGTAGGTTGGGCAGGACGGCAAGGTGAAAGTAGTACTTTTAGGCACATATGATGAGCTCTCAAGCTGCGTAGTGTGAGTTTCGTGCGCTCCATCCAGGCTTCAATGCGCCCGTTCCTTTGCTGCTAGTACGAAGTTGATAGTTTCATACTTCAACTTGTATAAAATGTAGCCGTCAGATGGTTGAAGTAACCCTACCTACCGAGCTACAAGTGGCTCGCCGAAGGCACGTCGGTTACAGGTGGTATTTTCCAAACGCGAGTAGCCTAATCGAGTTTTATGAATACGTATGATTGATCCGGCTGTGAAACAATAAATTGGTGTCGTAGTCGAATGCAAAAGTGGCGTTAGAAAAGAAATTTGTCCTACATCTTCACGACGATCCTTCTTCATAGGGACTCACGGCTAACCTGCATGCACCCCACCACTTCTTGAAGCCGAACTGCTATTAGGATTTACTTTCACCATTTTAGTCTCTACGCAAAGGCTTGCTGTTGCATTACCTACGCGATCCTCTATACTGAGTTGCTCTCTGTACCGGTAATAAGCAGACCTCAGATTATCCATACGAGCGTTTAATGAACCTGGCATAGAGCTGGCTTACCTGCGCATCCTCCTTAACTAGCTGCTATCAGTGCTGTTCGGAGCTCTGGTGCCTTCCAGGCTACAAACAGCAAGGGGCGAGCTGCCGTGTCAGGTCAGGCTGGGTGCAGTGCTCGCAGGCAGCTAAAGTATGCCGCTACCGCAGCCAGCGAGCCTGCGAGACCGCACACCTGAGTTCCATGCTATAGCGGAGCGCCTACAGCGGCAACCAGGGTTTGCAGGAGCTAGCAGCAGTGGCGCAACGGCTAATGGAACGGGGTCGAGCGGACCGTCAAGCTCGACGTCTAGCAAGGCCGCTCAAGGAAGTGAATTCGCTCGATGTGCAGCAGATATCGGCAATGGCATCCACCGGACATCATTAAAACTACAGAAGCTAGCGCAACTTGCCAAACGGACGTCAGCGTTTGACGATCCGGCGCAAGAAATAGATGACTTGACGGGGATCATCAAACAGGACATCCAGGGCCTTAACAACGCCATCGCAGAGCTTCAACGCCTCTCAGCTCGCAGCCGCGGCGATGACCGCGGCAACAAGCAGATCGCAGACCACAGCCACACCGTCGTCGACAACCTGCGCTCCCGCCTCAAGGACACCACCGCTACCTTCCGCGACGTCCTCACCGCACGCACAGACTCCCTCAAACACCACCGCGAGCGTCGGCAGCTCTTTACCTCCAACACCGACCCCGAAGCCGCCCTCGCGCTGCTCCCACGCCACCGCTCCACCAGCGGCCCCTCCACAGGGCCCTCCACCTCCTCCGCCCCCACACCCAGCTTCCTCGCAGCCTCCTCCTCCCAACAGCAGCAACAGCAACAACAATTGCAATCCCAGCAGCTCATCGCGCCGCAGGACACCTACCTCAGCAGCCGCGCCGAGGCGCTGCGCAACGTGGAGAACACGATTGTGGAGCTGGGCAGCATTTTCAACAAGCTGAGTGAGCTGGTGGCGGAGCAGGGCGAGCTGGCCATCCGCATCGACGAGAACGTGGAGGACACGCTGAGCAACGTGAACGCGGCGCAGGCGCAGCTGCTCAAGTACCTGGCTGGGTTGCAGAGCAACCGGTGGCTGGTGCTCAAGGTGCTGGGGGTGCTGGTGGTGTTCCTGGTGCTGTTCGTCATGTTTATTGCGTAGTGGGGGAGGCGGGAAGGGGGCGCGTCGCGTAGTAGGAGGGGAGGAGGTGGGAAGTGGAGGAGGGGCAATGCTGGGGTGCGGGTTGTGACAGGAGCGTTGGGAGGGGATGAGGAAGGTGGGGAGGTTGAGAGGGAGGGAGGGGCAGCAGGCGGTAGTCAGGATATAAGGGGTGAGCGCGCAATCGGGCAGGAAGGAGTAGGAGGTGCTGTTGGCTATGCAGGGCAACAGCGCAGGATGGTGTGGCGGCAGCTGGAGGGCGTTGGAGGCGGAGGAGGTGCGGGTGATGGGCTGCTTGGTGGGCAGGCAGCGTAGGGCACACCGGGGGGGGCAGTAGGTGTGCGTTGAAACAAATGAGCCGCGGAACTAGTCGTCTTGCCGTGAATGGAAAACTAGGTGTAAGTGTTTCTTGTGTCGCTGCATTGTTGGTGGGGGTATATATGTACAGCTGTCAACGGTAGGACAGAGGCTCTCGCCCCTGTCAATAGCCAGCTAGGCATGTAGACATGCCAAGTCCGTAACAACATAGACACATGCGGCCACTTCCCTTCAAACACGCTGCAGCGCTTTGCACACAGCCACCCTGCTGTAGCTGGCGGAACTGGGGCGGTTTGCTTGGCGGAGCGCAGCTGGGCTCTCTTGGCTTGGGCACTAGCCGGGGGCAGCAGCCGGAGGGGCAGTGGGTGGCCCCCACCCCTAGTCGGACGGCAGGGCTCCGCAGGGTCTCGTTTTCTCTGCTGGCTGCTGCGCAACCAGGAGGTGGCTGGCAAAGAAGAAAGCAGCCAACATGACAAGGCGCCGCCATGTGTTGCAAGGAGAGGGGCGCTGGGTCGCATTGGGGCGGTGTGTGGGTGTGAAGCGGCGCTCCTGGAGTTGCCCCTGGCTGTAGCATGGTAGCGCTCGTTTGGCTGGCATGCTTGTGCCGTGCTGTGGTGATGGTGGTGGCGGTGGGCGGTGGCTTCTTGCTACTCGAGTAGGAAATACATCGCAAGGGGCGCCAGCAGTGAGCTGCCGCGCTCTTGCCGGCACCGTGCACTTGCCGGACCCGCTGGCAGTCGTGTACAGTTTGCTTCCTGATCTCGATAAGCTTGCGGCATAGCTAGTAGAAGCAGGTGCGTGATCAAAATCCGAAAACTACCCGATGCCCTGATACTTGGTGTGCTTCGGCCACAACACAACGTCGCAAAGTGCATGTGGTTAGCCCTGACTGCTGAGACGGCTGTGCTACAGGGGGCTGCGTGGTCGGGAAGCAGGAGGACGCCATGCGATGGGAGGGCCGCCGACCAGCCGCATACCAGACTGCAGGGGTGTGTGCCAATGGTGATGGCATCCTCGTTGGCGGTAATGTTGGCGGTCTTCCCATCTGCTGCCCTGCTGCTACTGCCCTCTCCCCTGTCCCGCCGACCCCCCCAAGGGTGCCAGGAACGCTCCACCTCTTGGCCATTTCGGCATGTTGGCTGTATCCTGTATGGGCCAGCCTGCAAGTGCAACATCAGTGTGCGGACACGACACGTGCTGACTGTGGTGCGGCAGCGGTTGGTTGGGCGTGTCTTGGAACTGGCTGTAAAGGTGGAGAATTGCTGCATATATGGACCCTTTTTCCCCGTGGTTGCTTTCCACATTCACGTGTCTGGAGAGGATTGGGAGCAGCACACACTGTTACATGGTGACGACTAAATGTCCATACAGGCACACAAGCACCTTGCGAAACAAGGCGGTAAGCAGTCAACTAAGTGAGCAGTACAATGTGACGCAGCCGCCGCCAACAGCCTTGCATGGAGCCTCCCGTGTACGATACGGCAGCACTCCACTGCAGTGTTTCCACATCAGCAGTACACGACTCCTTTAGCCACCGCGTAAGTGAATCTATGAACGATATGAATGAACGCGCCACCCAAGACCCAATCCGCACATCCTGCAGAGATCAAAGCCTGGCGGTTACGAGCAACGCATTACTATGTTGCAAAGGAAATTGTGAATCGCATACCGGTAACCATGTAATAGCATCGAAGGCAAAACCAGAGAAGTCGCTGAGATCGCCTTATGGCCGCCTTGATTTAGCCGTGACTAATCGCGCACGCCTGCTTGCATGGCAGTCCGCTTATCGCCTTGAGCGCACGTTTGGCCGCATACCTACCCGGCTAGGACCACAACCAACATTTGTATCGCACATTTGCATATGACGAAGTTATGACGCCAGAGGAACCAAATATATTTCACTGACAACAAGCAAATTAGCTACAACGTTGCAAGTACACCAGCCGGCAAAAGACCTGACGAGGAAACCACACAACAAGAACAGCGGCAGTAACATCTTACAAGGCTAGGGCCCCGTTAAGAAAAATAACTTACAAAGCACCATGATGTCATCCTCGTCCTATCATGGTCATCATGCGATTAACTACATCATCTGTTGAAGTGAGATAAAAATTCACTCTGTTCCCTCACGCGGTGCTTTGCTTCTTCATCCGCAGGCCAGCCGCCATCGCGCGCCCGCCCACACGCACCGCCTGCTGCCCCACCGTGGCCAGCAGCTCCTGCATGCTGCGGCGGTGTCCCAGGGCGTTGGCCAACGCGCCAGCCGGCGGCTTCACCCAATTGAAGGCCAGGCCGGCGGTCTTTGGCAGTGCGCCGGTGGTGAAGCCGTAGTAGTTGGTGTCGTCGGCTCCGTCGGCCGCCTCGCCCGCAAGCATGCAAGCGTAAGTCACGGCGGAGACGGGGTTGGGGCCATAGTTCTGGAAGCTGGGGCCCTGCGGTTGGGGGTGGTGTTGGGGAGGTGATGAGTACGAGGAAGGGAGTTCTGGGTCCACATAAAGGCGTCGAAGGGTGAGGTGGAGGGAGGGGCAAGGATGACGAGGACTTGTATAGGACAGATACGGCTAACAGTGAGCCATGGGCGAGCCATGGGGTCATCCGTTGCAAATCTCTGAACCCTCGCCCCCCGCATGCAGTATACCCGCTAACGTCCCCATGTTGCACTCCCCCCCTCGCCCCTGCCCTCTCATCACTCACATTGAACAGGTCTGCCATGAGCAGGCACTGCCCCTTGGTGTTGCTGCCGCCGGTGGAGAGGTATAAGAAGTAGGTGCAGAAGTTGTCGGTGTAGCAGGAGGCGGAGCAGTTGGTTAGGGGGGTGGTGTACGGGTCGTACAGCAGCGTGCCGGGCAGCAGCGTGCTCTTGAAACACATAAAAGCGCCTGAGAAGGGAAGAGAGGGGGGCAAAAAATTAAATAAGTGAAACAACGAGAGAGGGGCGAGGGGCGGACGGGGGGGCGGGTCACAGATGTACCAAAACACAGGTTAGAGCAAAGCAACGGGGATAGGAGCAGCAGGATGCCGCAAAAGGAAAGGGGTGGATGATCAGGAAGACAGTATACGTTCCTGATCCCAGAAGCCCGATTTTTAGGATTTTCTAAGAGAAAGGAAGGGGAAAGGGGTTATGTGCATGTGATGCAGCATGTCCCTGTGAACAAATCGCGAGGGGGAGGGAAAGGCGGGAGGTGGGAGAAGGGTTAAAAGGGAAGGGTGCAAAGCCCACCCCAACCCCACCCTAACAACTGCTCGTCCATGCCTCTAAACCATCGAATTTGTTGCAGTCCATACCCCCTCCCACGCATGGTATCGTTCACAGCACGATACCGGTATACCTTCTTCCCTCCCCACCCGGCAGCCACGCACCATCGTTAGGCTTTGCGAGGCACGACTCTACGCCGCTGTTGTATCCGGTAACGCCCTGCTTGCCCACAAACACGGTTGAGCGAAGAGCGCAGGTGCTGGTGCTATTGCTCCAGACTCCCACCTGGTCGGGAGAGGGGGCGAGGCGGGGAGGGGGAGGCAGGAGGGTGGGGATTAGAAAGGGACTATAGTGGGGAGGTGGTAAGGCTGGGGAACAGGGGAGGGCATGCGACTCAGCGCTACCTGCGCATCTAAAGGATGAGGACGTGAGGGGTTTCGGGTACTCGCCCCCCCAAGTGACTTTTAGGCCGTCTCGGGCATGGGGGAGGGGCGGTTTTTGTTGTGGTCGTTGTGGTCGTTGGTTTTTCGGTTGTGGTGCTCGGTTTTTTTGGGGGCGTTTTGGGGGGTTGTTGCGGCCCTGCCGCCTTGCCTTGCCATGTTGCATGTCAGCATCTGGGGTGCTCTCCTTCGAGCCCGGTCACTCCCCACTGCACTGCACCGCATCACACACGGCCGTGCCCCTCTGCTGGCCTTTGCCTGTCCGCTGCACGCATACCATTGCCAGTCGTCTTGCTCCTAGACAACGCTACCGTCAGCTTGCTTTTTAGACAACGCTACTTTTCGGTGCGGTTCAGCTGACCGCTGCAGCCACAGCTCAGCGCCTGCTCGACCACTCACGCCGGTTGTGTTTGTTTTTGTTTCTGCTTTTGCATTCATGTTGTGCTGTGCTTGCTTTCGTCCTGTCTCGCATGCCATCCTGCTTTGCCGTACATTTTGCATTTAGATATAGGTTCTTTTTGCCTCGAACTCTGTCCCCCTTTCCTCGCTCTGGTTCATGTTTCTGCGCATGGCATTACTCGCATTACTGCGGCTGCTGGTCCTGGTGCTGACTACGGCGTTTTTGCTTGCAGGTACGCAATGCGCGTTTGCACGCACGCATGCACAGCATTGTGGTGTCTCGTCTGCGTGACCAGAGCGGGGGCTCCCGGCGTCGAGTTGGTCAGCGGGCTTTAGTTCTCGGTAGTATTTTCGTTTTCCGACAACCATCAGCATCACCGACATGCGTCGTCCCTCGTCACCCGCCACTCTTCTTACATCCAGCAACAGCAGTTTTTGAATTACGGTTCAGGTTTGGTCACCTCTGTTTTTGCCTGTACTCGCGGTTCACATGCGAACCTCTCCCAATTGCTTGTTCTTGTCCTACTCAACTACACACCACCTCCCCACCTCCCCCACCTACCAGGCACCCTGTGGTGGCGACGCACCGGCCCTGGCAGTCCCTGGCACTTGTCACACCGCCCTGGGTGGAGATGGCGTTGCCGGCGATGTCAGCACCGGGGAAGCAGCCGAACGGAACACCGGTACCTGGGGGATAGGGGGAGGAACGACGGGAGGGGGGGGAGGGGGCGGGGGAACGGGGTGTTTACAGGGCACGGGGTACGGAAATTGCGTCAGGAATGGGAGCCACAGCGGCTCCAGGGGCAAGGCTCTTCCTATCTGCACTGCACAGCACAGCACAGCGCTGCACTTGTCCCCCTCTTCCACACTCACACACACCCCTGTTCCCTCCGTACGCGTCTCCTCCTGTTCAACAGTTTGTACATCACCTCCCCAAAGGTCCCTCCCACATTCCGGGCGCCCCAGTTTATCCCCATTCCCAACTTTTGGCCCTAGGTCTAGATCACTACCCGTCGCCACAACAGCAGCCGCAAGTGCATCGGCCCTCGGTCGTCAACAGCTATGGCCAGTTACACTGCTTGGCTGGTCTAACACACATCCTGCCCTCATCCATCCCCGCTACCTGCTGTACTGCATCCCCATCCCCCTTTATTTCACTTCTCCCCGCTAGTGCTCCTCCACGTCCCCTTTTTTCCACTGGTGACGTCTTACCATTATAAACGTAGCTGTCCATGTACTCGAAGGGCGGGGGCGCGCCCTCTGGGGGCGGGGCATCCAGGGGCGGGGCCGGGGCATCTGGGGCGTCGCTGGGTGGTGGCTCCTGGAATGGCTCCGGGGGCACGTGGGGGGGCGGCGGGGGCGGGGAGACAGGGGGCGGAGGGGACCGCTTGGGCGGGGGCGACTTGACCGGGGGCGGGGAGCGCAATGGGGGTGGAGACTTGAGGGGCGGGGGAGACTTGAGCGGCGGAGGAGACTTGAGGGGCGGAGGAGACTTGAGCGGGGGAGGGGACTTGGCGGGGGGAGGGTTGGGGCTGTTGGATTTGGGCGGCGGGGGAGAAATCTTGGGAGGTGGTGGGGGCGGCGGCGAGGGGGGAGGAGGAGGAGGGGGCGAGGGGGGAGGAGGAGGGGGAGGAGGAGGCGAGGGGGGAGGAGGCGAGGGGGGCGGCGGAGACCTGCAGGGAGGGGAGAGGAGGTAGTGGCGTGTTTGTGTTTAACGCGGTGGGTTGTGCAGTGGGCCTCATCCAACACTGCCCTCCCACCCCAGCTGCTACTGCCACACTACTTGTGCTACCACCGCTACTGCCTAGCAACTGCCCGACACGCCCGCTTCCGGTCAGACCTAGCCCACCCCCTTCCTCCTCTCCATCTCCCTAACCCGCTTGTGAACCGAAGTCCTGCACACCCCCATCCCCCCCCACTCACGCCGCGGTCGTGTCCTTGCAGTCGGTGGCGGCGGAGGTGTAGCGGCACACCTGCACCGTCATCACCGTGCCGGAGGATTGCAGAGCTGTTTGGGACGTGAGGGGGGATGGGAGGGGGGGAGGGAGGAGGGGGAGCACGGGTTTGGACAGGTCTGCTATGAGGGGCTACAGGAGATGGGCGGCGGTCAAGAGCCCACATCACAACAGCGCCAAAACCCACTCTTTCGTCTTTCGTCCCGCGTCATTAGGCTTCACCCCGGCCAGCTGAAATTACTCCATCCCCAAGCAGGGGCTGTGTTCCGACCACTGTGCGTGTGAGCGGGGGCCAGTTACCAAACTCCTCATCCACGCCCGCACCAAGCATGCCACGCCCTAATGCAACGCATTCCTCCCCATCTCCCTCCTCTCCTTCCCCCCCCCATCCCCCCGGGCCAAGTCCTCTCACCAATGGCGCGAACCGACAGCTTGTAGGCTGAGATGGTGGTGGTTTGCCGCTCGGCCAGAGTACCGATGATGCTGACCCGTGGGTCACCCGAGGCCACGAAGTTGTTGTCAATGGACTTGGCGAGCTCGTGAATGTTCAGCTGATGTGGATGAAGGAACGGAGAGGGTGATAAGACATGAGGCACGGCATAATAAGCGCTAGTGCATGCGGCAGGGCGAGGAAGAAGAGAGAGAGAGGAAAAGAGAGGCAACGAACGAAAAACAGGAAGATAGAGAAGGATCCCCTTGCCCTCCTCCTTTTCTCCTCATTTGCCCCCTTCAACCCACCTTCTGGTTAAACTGCGCATCCAGGTCAAGATCTCCACCGCCGTTGACGCGCAGAGCCAGGTACACGTTCCTGTGGACGGGGCCAGAAGAGGCGGAGAGACGGGCAGAAGTGAAGCACTGGGAACCCGATCGCACGGGCCGGTTCAAGAAGGGGTAGTAGGGAGGAAATCGTAAACAATGCGTAGCGTGCATCTCCTCCCCCCTACCCCTCAACACACGGAGGACACCCGACACACAGCCAGCACAACAAGCCCCGCAAACCCTCCTCCCTTCTCGTTTACCCTCCCACTCCCCTTTCCCTCCCTCACTTGCTGTACGATGTGCCCATCCAGTCGGGCTGGATCTTGATCGCCACTCCCTTGTTGGTGAGGTAGGTGGCTGGCAGGCTGTAGGTCTGGTATACGTTGGCGGGGAAAGAGCTGCTGTTGAGCTGAGCAGCCAGGCTGATCCAGCCCAGACGCCAGGCCTCGGGGGCGGAGGGGCAGCTGTTGCCCTCACCCATGGAGGTGGAGTAGTCGGCATACTCGACACCGTCCTTCCAGCCGTGGTAGACCCCGAAGTTGTGGATGCTCTCCTGCATGACAGTGCCCTTGCGGAACACACCCTGAGGGGGAGTAACGAAGGGGAAGGGTGTATGGTTTTAGGCTTGGGTGGTTGGGGCGAGGAAGAGGCGAAGCCTGCCAATTGCCAGTACTAACACTCGTTCCGGTAACTCGTACCCTTTTTCATCCGCTTGTCCCTGGCAGCTCTCGAGCCATGCCTCCCCCGCCCCTTGCAGACCCCTCAATCTCCATCTCCTCCCCTTTCCCCCACCTCCCCTCCTCCGCCTCACATCGCTGTCGGGCGTGTACCAGGTGCGGCTGCCAGGCAGCTCAGCCAGCCCCACCCAGCCGCACTTGCTGACCAGACCGTTGGGCAGCACGTAGGTGTAGTGCGTGAACAGGCTCACAGCGGCTTGGGGGGGGAGAGAGGAGGAGGGGAAAAGTGGGTGCGGGTGGGTGACGGCATAGTTCCCCCTTTCCTGCCTCACCCTTTCCCTTAGTGAAATCTCCCTTCATCTGCTATTCTGCTTGTTATCGACTAGATGAAAGCCCCTTCCCACGAACTGGCAGGAGCGTCCTCCTGCGGTCCCTTTCCCCCTTCCCATACACACAAGTACAAAACACCCATCCAACACACACACCTCACTTATGGCATTTCAGTGGGGACTTCATCTTCCAGCAATCACAGTACATTCCTACTCGCGGCCAGTTTTCTTAACACACGTCCCCTACCCCGTCCCCTATCACACCCCATCCCCGCCCCCTACTCACTGGAGCCCAGCTGCGAGTTCGCGGACGCCTGAGCGGCCGAGGCAATGGCCTCCTCATCGCACGACAGGATGGAGGAGGAGCAGGAGACGGGGGTGGAGAGCACCTGTGGGGGGATTGTGAGGAGGTTGGGGAGAGGGGGGTTGTCAAGAGCTATTGAACAGTTGGACAGAGGCAGGCAGGCAACACACACCCCATCTCTTTCTCGGCTTTCAAATCCTGCTGTACCTTGAACGCAGAGGTGTCGTACACCATGGAACCGTAACTGCAGTTCTTGAGGAAGTTGGCATAGCCGAGGGTGCCCATGTAGGCATTGTAGACGGCAGAAGTCTGAAGAGGGGCGGGGAGAAGGGAAATTGGCAACGGGTAGGGGGAGGGTGTTAGTAGACAGGAAAGGGACAAAATGATATGTTCGCGAACATGTCACGAGTGAGCGCCGCCTGCCCCAAGCCGCCCGTTCAGTGCCCCAAGCCGCCCACGTAACACCAATTTCGTCCGCTCTCACCGACGCTCCGGTCTTGCTGCAGCTGCCGGTCAGGCTGAGCACCATGACGAGCAGCTTGATGGTGATGCCGGTGGCCTTCACCGGGGCCGCGGACAGCGTGACGGTGACGGAGGACACGCTCACGCAGGTGGCGGGCGTGGTGGTGTTGTAGGTGCAAGTCTGGGGAAGACGAAGGATTACCAAGGGGGTTCGCGGGGTTGATGAGTAGGGAGTAGGGGCAAGGGTCACGGGTGAGGGCAGGCGAGGCCCACTCAGGACAGCGAGTGGCTACGGAAGCTGCAACAAGAGGAAGAGGCCCAAACGCCAATCACAGCGCCATTCACGTGACCCGGATTTAGGCTCTTCTCATCCAAGTCGTACCCTACAACTAGACGCCCCCTCACCCTACCAGGCTGTGTCTTTCCTGGTTTCGCGTCCCTCAGGATACAAGCTGCCACCCTGCCGAAAAGCACACACCCATCCCCATCACAACCCATCCTGCCAACAGTCTATAGGGGACAGGCACTAACTGTTGAAAACGTGCTTTACTTCTTGTTCTCTACCTCCCCGCCCCGGCTTCTCCTGCTTTTCCCCTCCACCCGCGCACTTACCAGGCTGATCTGGCTCTGCGGCTTGACGGGATTCAGGCTGGCGTCCACCGGCTGCGCGGGCAGCGTGAGCAGCGTGCCGTTGCTGAGCTGTAGGTTCCAGATATCCCGCTTGTGGCTGTCCTTGTGCTTGAGGGTACCCTACAAGGAGGGGAAAGAGAGGAAAGGCAGCTAAGAGAAGAGGGGGAGCTCCCCGACAGAAGGACATTGTGTGTCGTCCGCAGGAGGGAGTAAGTACAACAGTTCGAGCCCCTCCGGCCTCCACCTTTACCAGTACTTACCTTGTAAGTCGCGGTCTTAATGGTGCCCACGGCCTCGGTACCTGAGGGCGGGGGGTAGGAATGGAGCTGGTGGAGGTCAAGAGCAGGCAGCTAAGGTTGGGGTGAGATGCACGATGTGCAGCCGGGCGGTCAGCTTTGGGGAAAACCGTTGTGAGGGCCTGAAGACGTGGCTGTACCCGCGGACTGAGGAGTAAAGCTAACCGGCGACAGGAGGAGGCTGGTAAAACGTTTGGCTATGGGGGATGACTGCTGGCGAAAAGCTGAAACGGACAGTTTCTGTACGTACCAGTCATAGACAGAAGAATTATCGACAGAAGTAGCAGGGGCATGCGTGCCGACCACGCATTAGCCCCGCTGCGTCGTCCGACGCCAGGCATGGAGCCTCTTGTTGCCCGGCACAAGTCTGAGAATTACCCTGTCCAGAAAGGTGTCAAATTGGGTATCATTTAGTACTGATGGTTATTGAGAGGGCAACATGGCGTTAAGAAATGTCAGCATGATAGACTTCCGGAAGCACAGCGTGTATTTAGCGGTCGAAACGCAAAACAATAGTAAGTAACTGCGTGCGGCGAGAACTGTCATATCCAGGAAAGCGCTAATACTGAGGGGAAAACAGAGCTTGCCGAGCCCGCGCTTGACCATGGCAAATAACCCCAGTCAACATAAACACCACTACATTACAGATAAGCACCCTTTTAGCAGATGGGTGCAACAGAACGCGAATGGGAATGGCTCACGCTCAACGACACTGTACACTTGCACACAGCCGAAACTCAAGGATTTACCGTTACAGCCAAATAAGTGACCCTTGCCAACGGAGGCGTCAGTCGTTTGATAATGAAACGCACTTACCACAACGATGTTCACAGCAGGTATGCGGCGCCCTTGCGGCAACCTGCAACGCATAGGAACCGGCAGCACAACAGCAGGAAGGTAGGCTATCGGTTAACCTTAATGCCCTTCATGAGGAGTCAGTTCCCAGCGCTTTAGGCTTACGTGTATATAAGACGCCCACCAAAGGCAACACGCCCCTAAGGGAGGTATCTTTTATCGGAGGCCGCAAGTTGCGGTAGACCTCCATTCATCATCCCTCGTTGCAAGCGAGGAACAAGACGTCTGACAGTGTACGGCATACGAGAACAGGACGAACACAATGCTTGCAGGCGGGCGGAAGCGGTTGCCATGGTGTGATGCCACAAGCAATGGATAATATAGTCATCCTGTTTTGCGGAGCGGAGACATACTTATCAACACGGTTGAGCTGACAAAAAAAGCCGTTTTCGTAGGTAGCGCAATTCACCAGCGCTTAAGTTATGGTCGCTAAACAAGTTGCCTTTGATTGGCTCTTTTGTATATGAACTACATTTTTTCAATTAACAGGTAGTGTATCCGGGCTACCTCATGCCTCTATGTTTCATTTCGCAAATCGGCGTGAATGCCCAAGGCGTTCTAGCTTTTCAGCAAGCACTAGATGATGAGAAAGGAAACTAGAATGTTGCTCAGTAACACAGGGGTAGGTATCCCGGCGGCACGTCGATACGGTTCGATTTTGTCGAAACCGCTTGTCGCTACGAAAGGATTACTCCCGTGGGAAAGTCACTGGTGTCGTTTACGTTTCCACTCGCGCATGACAGGGGTGCCGGTATGCCAGCACTCGCGCATAACGGACCTCTGGCGCATTGCTTGCATTCATTTGTCGGGCAATGCGGCAATATGCTATTGCTCCTCACGCATTTTTGGAGCCTCGCTATTTACTGGGCCTCCTATCTGCCACACATGGGCTGCACAGACTGTAATTGAAACACTGGCAGTGTCTGGCACATTGCGGGCATATGGTTGCGGTGGGCGCATAGAATAGTGGCCTAAGTCAGGCTGCACTGCTTTCAACCTTTGTTGCATTTGTGGCGAGTGTTGGCATCAACCATGCACCGTTACACGGGCTAGGATTGATTGTTGCTTGCCACGGGTAAGTGTTGAAGCGGGAATGTATCCTGGGACACGAGACCTCCTAGCAACCTCTGGCAGCGGGGAAGGTCATCAACAAAGCAGTGAGCACCCTTGTGACGGTACTACCCTTGAAGGGTTGTGGCATCAGGCCGTTGTCTGTATGCAGGCCTGGGCTTGAAGGGTACGTATCCACTAGGGTCCGTGTTTGGCATTAGTGTGTAAGGCCCATCAGATCCATTGCTGTGCTTCAACGTCTGCCACCGCCGTTGAGCCCAGTCGGCCTGCTTTACGAGCGTTCTGACTTTAGTACAGAGTATGTCGCAAAAGGGAAAAAATGGATAGCACAACCTGGCGCAAGGGTGTAATAGTGTCGAAGACGATTCCTCCCAGCTGCGATGTGAATTGGCCGTCGATTACAGAACTAGTACTCGCGCACGCCTGCCTGCATGACAATTCACTTGTAAACACGTTTAGCCGGGTACCTGGCCGGCAAGGAACTCCACACCGCGAACAAGTTCTTGTTGCACGGACTTCATCAGTGATTGAGCTAGCGGAACCGATTAGCCTCCGCCAACAACTCAATAAAGTTATAATTTCGACCACGTCGTCAGTAAACCCGCTAACATAAGACCTGTCGCAACAATACATACGGTACACAAAGGGAGCACAAGTGCACAACACAGCAAACGAGGCCCCAATTGAGAGCATTATACATAAGAACAAATTTCATCGTCCTGCATTTTGTCATAACATCGCATCAACGTCTTTGCATTATCAATTGTTGATGCCGACATCATCGTCCTTCTCGTTCATCTTTCCCTTTCCTCACGCGGTCCTGCGCTGCTTGATCCGCAGGCCAGCCGCCATCGCGCGCCCGCCCACACGCACCGCCTGCTGCCCCACCGTGGCCAGCAGCTCCTGCATGCTGCGGCGGTGTCCCAGGGCGTTGGCCAACGCGCCAGCCGGCGGCTTCACCCATTTGAAGGCCAGGCCGGCGGTCTTTGGCAGTGCGCCGGTGGTGAAGCCGTAGTAGTTGGTGTCATCGGCTCCGTCGGCCGCCTCGCCCGCAAGCATGCAAGCGTAAGTCACGGCGGAGACGGGGTTGGGGCCATAGTCCTGGAAGTCGGGGCCCTGCGAGTGGTGAGCGTGAGGGAGTGACCCATGGGTCACAACAGGAGCACAGGAGCGTCAGGGAGGTGGAGAGATATCCCTAGGTGTGTAGGACAAGTGGGGCCATGATGAGCGACCCATGTTGTTAAGAAAACTGGCCGCGACCCATGTGTCCATTCGGGCCCCGCATGCCCACTCACCATTGGCTTTGCTCATTAGAGCTGGGCAGGCAAACGAACGTTATGCAGCAATGTTAAAGTCTTGCTGTCATACGGTTCATTTCTTCGTCTTTACTCGTCGTCCCTTTTACGTCCCCGTGCTGCACAGTTCCCCTCCTCGCTTCTCCCCTTCCATCACTCACAGTGAAGAGATCTGCCATGAGCAGGCACTGCCCCTTGGAGGTGCTGCCGCCGGTGGAGAGGTACAAGAAGTAGGTGCAGAAGTTGTCTGTGTAGCAGTCCGAGGAGCACTTGGAAACGGTGGCGGAATACGCGTCGTACAGCAGCGTGCCGGGCAGCAGCGTGCTCTTGAAACACATGAAAGCGCCTAAGAGGGGAAGAAAGTGTAAAAAGAGGCGAAGAGCGGGATGGATAAGGAATTAAAGAACCAAGACCAAGATTCTAAACCAGCCCCAAAACCACCAGAATGTCAGGGGAGGGGAACAGCGAGAACCCAAAGTGCTCCAACAGGACAGGAGGTGAGGGAAGGGGGAACAGAGGACAGGGACGAGGGGACGGGGGCGGATGGTTATAATCATGCAGCGCAGTGGGGGAGGAAGAGGGGGTGGCGGAACTCATCTTGCCCCTTTCAACAAAGATGAAAAGGGAAAAGTGGAAGGTGGGCGAAGAAGTAGGGTAAGAAAGGGAATGGTGCGAGGCAAGAGGAAAAACCACCCAGCCTTCTAGTAAAAACCAATCCGTTCCTCCCAGAGCTCCCTTCAGCCCTGACTCCCTTAACAGCTTTGGTCGCTTTCGTTATCCCTCCCCACCCGCCCGCCACGCACCATCGCTAGGCTTTCCCAGGCACGACTCTACGCCGCTGTTGTATCCGGTAACGCCCTGCTTGCCCACAAACATGGTTGAGCGCAGGGAGCAGGTGCTGGTGCTGTTGCTCCACACGCCCACCTGGTCGGGGGCAGGGGCGAGGCGGGAGAGGGGATTAAGGTGTGTTAGCCACACACGAGGAGGGGCAGACAAAGGGACCAGGTGGGGTTTGTGTTTGCAAGACCCACCTGACAACGACCTTCCCCCTTTTCCTCATTTGTGCTTTCTCAGCTTCAAAAACATGACACCTATCTTTCCTGATTCCCTCTCAACATCCCCCACCACACATACACAACCGGCGATACGTCCACCAGCTCCATGGGCTATCCCCACTTCCCCCTCTGTGCAGGCGACCTTGATGCAACCCATGCCTAATTGCCTACATGTCACATTCTTTATTGTCACTCCTTAATCCCCCCTACCAGGCATCCCGAGGTGGCCGCGCACAGATCCCGGCACTGCTCGGAGCTGGTCACTCCGGTGGCCGAGGAGAGGGCGTTGCCGGCAATATCGGCACCAGGGAAGCAGCCGAACGTGATACCTGGGGGCCGGGAAGCAAGAGAGGGGAGGGAAGAGGGGAGGGGGTTTATACACACACGCGGCTCAGTCATCTCAACACGCATACGGCACGGGAGATTAAGCCGCGGGAAATACTGACCCTGACCATAGTATACCCGGGCACGGGAGAGGGAGACATGTCATGTGGGAAGGTGGTTCAAAATAAGGATAACTGACGACGTGACGAGGCAATTAACGAACTGTGGGAAGCGAAAGCAGCATCCGAGGCTAGGTTTACCCCTACAATTTTTTGCCCCCTCTTCCAAACCGAGCCGAGCATGGGAGTTTAGAGGCAAGTGCGGGGACTCCCATTGCTTCACCCCTCCCTCAAAACGCGCAAAAGGATGCAAGCACACGCATTCCCCCTCCTATCCTTGCCATCCGCTAGCCCTTTCCTTCCTTCCTACGTCTCCTCCCCCTCTCGAACCTCCCCGCCGACGTCTGATTCAAGCCCGCTAGGTCTGCGTTAGGTGCTTCCCCTAGAGATTTGTCCTGTGCCGTGAGTCCACCATTCGAGCCCGCTAGGACGATGTCTTCACCCGCGTCCCCTTCCCCATCCTTCACCCCTGGCTACCGGCATCTCACCGTCATACACGAAGTTCGCAGTCAACTCATATGGCGGCATGGCGGCATCCGGGGGCGGGGAGACAGGGGGCGGAGGGGACCTCTTCGGCGGGGGCGACTTGGCAGGTGGCGGGGAGCGCAGGGGTGGTGGAGACTTGACGGGGGGAGGGGGCGGAGGAGACTTGACGGGGGGAGGGGGTGGAGGAGACTTGAGGGGCGGAGGAGACTTGAGCGGGGGAGGGGACTTGGCGGGGGGAGGGTTGGGGCTGTTGGATTTGGGCGGCGGGGGAGAAATCTTGGGAGGTGGTGGGGGCGGCGGCGAGGGGGGAGGAGGAGGAGGGGGCGAGGGGGGAGGAGGAGGGGGAGGAGGAGGCGAGCGGGGAGGAGGCGAGGGGGGCGGCGGAGACCTGCAGGGAGGGGAGAGGAGGTAGTGGCGTGTTTGTGTTTAACGTGGTGGGGGTGGGTTGTGCAGTGGGCCTCATCCAACACTGCCCTCCCACCCCAGCTGCTACTGCCACACTACTTGTGCTACCACCGCTACTGCCTAGCAACTGCCCGACACGCCCCCTTCCGGTCAGACCTAGCCCACCCCCTTCCTCCTCTCCATCTCCTTAAACCGAGGTCCTGCACACCCCCATCCCCCTACTCACGCGGCGGTCGTGTCCTTGCAGTCGGTGGCGGCGGAGGTGTAGCGGCACACCTGCACCGTCATCACCGTGCCGGGGGACTGCAGAGCTGTTTGGGACGGGAGGGGGGATGGGAGGGGGGGAGGGAGGAGGGGGAGCACGGGTTTGGACAGGTCTGCTGTGGGGGCATATGGGACATAGGCGGCCAACAATACACAAACAAAAGAT